TTTTTTAAAGATTTACTTATTTGAGAGAGAGAGAGAGAAAGACCAGGAGGGACAGAGGGAGAGAGGATCTCAAGCAGACTCTATGCTGAGCATGGAGCTCAACGTAGTCTTGCCTCTTTGTCTGGTAAAGGAGGGTACGGCTGTTCCTTAAGCCGCTGTCGGGGCACGGGGGTCATTGGGTCTGGATTCTTCTCTGCAGTGAGGTGGTAGAAGATAGTCAACACAAATTATCACATTGAAAGGCTTTCCGATTATAAGAGAATTCTTATATTTTTGTCTAATGTTGGATACTGTTTTTGTTTACATTTGAATCTTTGATCACTTTGGGATTTTTCCCAGTATAGGATCCAACCTCAGATTTTTTCCATTTGGCCTCGCCAGTCGGTCCGGCATCATTTATTGAATGTCAATTGAATGTTGAGCCTTTTCTCTCTGGATTTGAGAGGCTGCCCTTGTCAGACGTTCAAGTCCTAGCGTCGTTAGATTCTTGTTTCTGTTCTGCTCATCTGTTTATCCATGTGCCACCTGTGTTCAGTTCCGAATTCACATGTCTACTGAGTCTGTTTCTAGAGTGTGTGTGTGGTTTCCCTGGTCTGCTGTCTGTTAATGTTTTCATTCTTGAGATCTTGTAGCATGTTTGAACATCTGACAAAGATAGTCCCTCTCCTCCCCACCCCCAGTCTCAGTCAGTAATCCTGTCTTAACGTTTTAAGTTTCTTTTGTCTATTTGGTTTTGTTTTTTTAGTTGTCTCTACACCCAACATGGGGTGCAAACTCATGACCCCGAGGTCAAGAGTCTCATGCTCCACCACCTGAGTCAGCCAGGAGCTCCTTAAGGTTGATTTTTGCACTGGTAAAGACACTTGCGTACACTTCGGGTGCATGATTTGCCAATTTTAAATGATACGCTTTGAACTCCCAGGTTAGGGGGGTAATCCAGATGAGGCAATCAGTGAACATATCCTCTGTCCTGCCTTCTCTCAACCCCAGTTTTGGCTGGAGTGTCATTTCTACGTTGCTGGGTAACCTCTACATTCTCTTCTCATTGTAATGGCCACAGTCGTTGGAGACTTGGTTCTGAAGTCTGCTGTATCCGGTGCTCATCCCCAGCCCATTTGCTCAGAGTTCCCTTGATCTCTTGGTTGACCGAAGCTCACCTCCTAGTAGTTTCCCCAAGAGGGACTCATAGGAACCATATTCTGCAAATTCGTGCGTATTCAAAGCTGTTTGCCTGCCAGTGTGATACTTGAAGGATGGTTTTGTTGAAAACAAATTCCTGGGCATCCCCTTTCTTTCCTTGTGTGCCTCATGTCTGCAGGCATGAATGTCACTGTAGAGAAGTCTGAGCCCAGGTGGTTCTCTTACCCCACTTGAGTGATGCGAGCCTTTTGCTTGCTGTCCTGTCTCATCGCTAGCCACTGTGGGTTAGTCTTCCTAACACAGTGCACCTTCCCAGGGTCGTTGGAGCTTTCTACCTTCAGCGTTTCTTCTGTTCCTTGGGTCTGGTTCCCCTGTTTGAGAACTCCAGTTATGTGTGTGTGGACTCTCATTTTGTCTAACTTCTCTTTCGGTCCTTCTTGTTAATCCCTTTGTCCTCCTCATTCCTCTTCCTTTCACAGCTCTTCTCATTTTGGCCCCTCTTTTCCCTTTCTCCTTGCCAGTGTGCCTGTTCTCCTTTGCATTCCTCCTCCTGCGCTTGGGTCTCTGGATTTCCTCTGCCTTCCCACGTCCTGCCACCTCCCACTTCATCTCTTCCTGCTGTCTTACTGTCTCTTCCAACTTCTACCATATGGTCTTCCTTCCTGGAGGCGGTTGCTTTGTCTAACTTTTTTTTCTCCTTTTTTTTAGAGAAAGAGAGTGCACACAGGGAGGATGGGGGCAGAGGGAGAAGGAGAGTATCCTCAAGCAGACTCCTGACTGAGTTGGGAGCCTGAGGCAGGGCTCGATCTCACAACCCTGAGATCATGACCCGAGCTGCAGCCAAAAGTCAGGGGCTTAACTGACTGAGCCACACAGGAGACCCTCGTTTATTTATTTTTTTAATGCATGAAAAATGTCACTTTCTCAGTCATAATTGCCATGATTAATGTGTGAGGGTCAAAGGCTCTCTCCTTTCTGCTCTACAGAAACAGAAAGCTTCCTGCGTATAGAGGTCATCTGGGTGATTCTGGTTGTAGCTTCACCTTCTGCGCTTCTCTGAACCAAAGAAGCCAGCCCTGCTCACCCCAAATGCACTGTTGCTCTTGAGGGGGAATCCTTACCTTTAGGAAGTGATTTTCTGTCTGAGCTTTTTTTAATATCCTTTTTTTTTTTTTAATTAAGTAAGCTCCATGCCCAGTGTGGAGCCCAGTGTGGAGCCCAGTGGGGGGGCTTGAACGTATGACCCTGAGATCAAGACGAGCTAAGATCTAGAGTCGGATGCTCAACTGACTGAGCCACCCATGAGCCCCCTCTGCCTGAGCTTTTTGAGATCAGCTGCCCCCCCAGTTCCTTCCCCAGCCACACATACACACACACACACACACGCACACCGCTTTCCATGCTTGTTCACTTCCTGCCTCATTGGCCTCTGCCCTGTCTCTGCTGTTTTTGGAAGCCCTTATATGTATTTTGGTGTCTGCAAATTAATCTTCCTCCTAATCTCACTGCAAATGGAGTTTGAGTTTTTGTTGGGTTTTCCCTGTTGCTTTTGAGCTCATTCCAGAACATACCAACCAGTTCTGATTTTAAGGCAGTGGAAAACCTTATCAGCTAATGTCCCTGTTCAGAAGAGAACAATTATTTTTAAAGATTTTATTGATTTATTTGACAGAGAGAGGCACAGCGAGAGAGGGAACACAAGCAGGGGGAGTGGGAGAGGGAGAAGCAGGCTTCCCGCGGAGCAGGGAGAGCCCGATATGGGACTCAATCCCAGAACCCTGGGATCATGACCTGAGCCGAAGGCAGACGCTTAACGACTGAGCCACCCAGGCGCCCCACTAAAGTCATTTTTTTTTTAAAGATTTTATTTATTTATTTGAGAGAGAGAGAAAGAGAGAGAGAGCATGAGAGGGGGGAGGGTCAGAGGGAGAAGCAGACTCCCCGCCGAGCAGGGAGCCCGATGCGGGACTCGATCCCGGGAGTCCAGGATCACGACCCGAGCCGAAGGCAATCGCCCAACCAACCAAGCCACCCAGGCGCCCTATTTTTAAAAAACAATTTATTTATTTGAGAGAGAGAGAGGAGCAAGCAGGGGGAGGGGCAGAGGGAGAGAAAGAGAGAAACTTAAGCAGACTCCTCACTGAGCACAGAGCCCGATGATGACGTGGAGCTCCATCTCACGACTCTTGAGATCAGACCTGAGCCAAAACCAAGAGTCAGACGCTCAACCGACAGAGCCACCCAGGTGCCCCTACTAAAGTCATTTACTTATTTATTTATTAAAGATTTTATTTATTTAATTGACAGAGAGAGAGAGACAGCGTGAGGGGCAATACAAGTAGGGGGAGTGGGAGAGAGAGCAGCAGGCTTCTGGCTGAGCAGGGAGCCCAAATGTGGGGCTCGATCCCAGAACCCCGGGATCATGACCTGAGCCAAAGGCAGTCGCTTAACCAACTGAGCCACCCAGGCGCCCCTAAAGTCATTTTTTAAAAAATGTTTTTGGTAGCATTCGCTTGCAGAAAATAAATCAGGGCCTCTGCCTGGAGGACCCTGTAGAAGAGTGGTGAGAGCAGACCTCTGTGCTAGAAACTTGCAAAACCCTGTTGCAGGAAGTTGCAGAAGTGCAGAGCTCCTGGTCCTGGCTGTGTGGGCGCATGCGCTGTGCCCCTCAGGCCCGTATCTGTCCCCTGGACGCCAGGAGTCACAGAGCACCAGCAGCGTTTGTGCTAGTGAGCATGAAGTAGAATCACAAGCCTACTTGTACATTTAAATACAATCCTCGGGCCCCTGGTTGGTTAAGCGTCTGCCTTCGGCTCAGGTCATGATACCAGGGTCCTGGGATCAAGTCCCGCATCGGGCTCCCTGCTCCTTGGGAGCCTGCTTCTCCCTCTGCTTTTCTCTCTCTCTCTCTCTGTCTCTCATGAATAAATAAATAAAATCTTTAAAAATAAATAAATAAATACAATCCTCTGTGGACTGACAGCATAACTAGAACCAGGTTCTGCCTGAGGGCGTGTGCACCTTTGGAAATTCACCTTCACCTACAGAAACTAATAATCACTGAATCGACCATCTAACTTTAAATAAACTATTTCTTAGCTTCGGTAGTGGGAATGTCACTAGGACCCTGTGTAATTATTTAACTAATTGTCTTCCTTGTTCTGGATGGATCTGCTTTCTCTGGAGGTCTGACGTTAGGTGTTAGGAATAATCAGGCTGTCATCCTGATCGGTAAATCGTTGATTTATTTATGTACACCCTACAGAATTCCAAAAAAGAATTGAAGACAACTTACAGAAGCAGAGCATAAGGGTGCTCGCTTTGGCAACACACATACTAAAACTGGAACAATACAGGGAAGATTAGCCAAAGAAGGAAGGAGGCAGACAGGAAGGAAGGAAGGGGGCACAAGGAAATTATAGCAAAAAAGGAAATAATGGGAGGGAAAAATGAAAGAACACAGGTTGCGGGCTGTACAAACATCCAGTATTCTCCCTCTGAGCGTTTGGCTCCAAGCTTCCAAGCAGGCAAGGTGGGGGGGTGGGGGCGGGGAGCCACAACCAGAGCCATGAGGCAGACACACATCAGTTACTCAGAACAGCGGTGCTCTTGGGAATTTCGGTTAGAGGAAAAGTTCCTTCTCATTTATCAAGAGGACATTGTGTGGCATAAACAGTGTCGCCAACAACTTCCTGGCAGTGTTAACGTTCCTGACGGCCATTAATTTCGATGACACTTCTCAGACTGTTTTTGACTGTCGGCCAGAGCTATTAAATCAACACACAGCTCGGTTCTTTGGGGATCAAAACAGTGAGATCCAGGCTCACGGCTCTCCTGCTCAATCCTGGGATAGATTTCAGAGTCTGTCAGTGAAGGAAGGGGATGCATATGTTGTCGGTAATCTGCCCTCCTGATTTCTTTCTTCTTCTTCTTTTTTTTTAAAGATTCTATTTATTTATGTGAGAGAGAGAGAGCGCAAGAAAGCACAAGCGGGGGGAGGGACAGAGGGCCAGGCAGAGGGAGAAGCGGACTCCCTGCTGAGCAGGGAGCCCAGTGAGGGACTCAGTCCCAGGACCCTGGGATCATGATCCTAGCTGAACGCAGATGCTTAACCGACTGAGCCACCCAGGTGCCCCCTCCTGATTTCTTTCACCCGAATGTTTGGTTAAGTGTTGGGCAGCAGAGTTTAACAAGTTTCTGGATGGTAGATATTTTGTATTACCGATGGGAGGTCCATCTGTAAGCTCCTACTGCAGACACATTTTAGGGCTCTTCTAATCACCAGCTTATTTCCAGTCATCTGTATAGACACCTAGAGTTCTTGTTGCAGGGGCCCCGTCACCTTGTCTGTGTCTTACTTTCTTACTATAATCTATTAAGATTATAAACACAGGATATAGTGTAATGTACGAGATTATTACATAAACTCTTTTTGAAGGGAGATGAAGCTTTAGGGAAATTTCTGTGGTACCATTGAAAAACCTATTCACTCATTCTCCAAATTTAATTGAGCACCTGTTACGCATTCGGCACCATGGTGAGTATTGGGGGTCACTGTGTACCCTGTTGCTTTCTGTTGATCAGGATTTTCAGATTCCCACCTGACTTCATTTCCCAGTGGAGAAACAGGTACGGACCTAGAACCCAGATCTTTAAGACTTAGAAATTCTCAGTGATCACCACGTGGGTATGAGGTCTGACAGATAATCACAAAGAAGGAAATCAACCTGGTTTTTAAAAGTTTTGAGGATCCTTTAGCCTCGTTATTTTCATAAGAAGTTTAATTTTTTAAATATTTCACTTGGGTTTCCTTTCCTTCTCTCATCATTATAGGAAACGGAGTATAAATCGTATGTCTTTCTTCACTGTTTCAGATTTCGAGATCCAGAGCGACAATGGGGAGAACTCTAATCAGGATCTGTTTGAGGATGTCGAATCACATGAGATGTTCTCAGAAATGCCCGAAGGGGAAGGCATTCCGCAGTCCGACTGGGAAAGTGACTCTGAGAGAGACTGTGGCTCCAGGGGGCCCCAGGGGAACGCCCCGCGTGGGGACCACAGGGAGGTGCCCTCCCAGGGCAGGGAAGTGGGGCAGCTCATCGGCCTTCAGGGCACCTACCTGGGTGAGAAGCCCTACGAGTGTCCCCAGTGTGGGAAAACCTTCAGCCGGAAATCCCACCTGATCACCCACGAGCGGACCCACACGGGAGAGAAGTACTACAAATGCAACGAATGCGGGAAAAGCTTTAGCGATGGTTCCAACTTCAGCAGACACCAAACCACCCACACGGGGGAGAAACCTTACAAATGCCGAGACTGTGGGAAGAGCTTTAGCCGGAGCGCAAACCTCATCACCCACCAGAGGATCCACACGGGAGAAAAGCCCTTCCAGTGCGCCGAGTGCGGCAAGAGCTTCAGCAGGAGCCCCAATCTCATTGCCCACCAGCGAACCCACACGGGCGAGAAGCCCTACTCGTGCCCCGAGTGTGGGAAGAGCTTCGGCAACCGGTCCAGCCTTAACACTCACCAGGGCATCCACACGGGCGAGAAGCCGTACGAGTGCAAGGAGTGCGGGGAGAGCTTCAGCTACAACTCCAACCTGATCCGCCACCAGCGCATCCACACGGGCGAGAAGCCCTACCGGTGCGCCGAGTGCGGGCAGAGGTTCAGCCAGAGCTCGGCGCTCATCACGCACCGGCGCACGCACACGGGCGAGAAGCCCTACCAGTGCGCCGAGTGCGGCAAGAGCTTCAGCCGCAGCTCCAACCTGGCCACGCACCGCCGCACGCACCTGCTGGAGAAGCCCTACAAGTGCGGCGAGTGCGGCCGGAGCTTCAGCCAGAGCTCCAGCCTCATCGCGCACCAGGGCGCGCACACGGGCGAGAAGCCCTACGAGTGCCTGACGTGCGGCGAGAGCTTCAGCTGGAGCTCCAACCTCCTCAAGCACCAGCGAGTGCACACGGGCGAGAAGCCGCACAAGTGCGCCGAGTGTGGCAAGGCCTTCGGCCAGCGCTCGCAGCTCGCCGCGCACCGGCGCACGCACACGGGCGAGAAGCCCTACCAGTGCCTCCTGTGCGGCAAGAGCTTCAGCCGCGGCTCCATCCTCGTCATGCACCAGCGCGCGCACCTGGGCGACAAGCCCTACCGCTGCCCCGAGTGCGGCAAGGGCTTCAGCTGGAACTCGGTGCTCATCGTCCACCAGCGCATCCACACTGGGGAGAGGCCCTACAAGTGCCCCGAGTGCGGCAAGGGCTTCAGCAACAGCTCCAACTTCATCACCCACCAGAGAACGCACGCCAAAGACAAAGCGGACTGAGCCGGCCGCGCGCTGGTGGCCCGCGGGCCCACGGTGACGCCCCTTCTGGAGGGGGGGGTGTCTTTGGGGACTCGGGCCCGAATCTCACCCGCTGCCGTCCCGTTGAGCAGACTCACGCCCCCCGGAACGGGGCGGGGGACGGAAGGTCGCAGAGTTGGGTCTCTTTCCGTTTCATTGCATGACACGCCATGGCCTTCCGCTCTCCTGGTCCTCCGGGCCTCCGTTTCCTCTTTGGTAGCACAGGGGGAGTGTTTCTCGTGGGGGACGGAAGACCGCGGGGCCCACAGCCCGGCAGCCCGGGCCGAGGCCTCAGAAATACTGGAAAGCGACAGGTGCGGGCTGGTGGTTCTGCTGCCCCTTGGCCGGGTTAAGGTGCCTTCGCCCGGAGCTGCTGGTGTGCCAGGGTGTCAGGTCAGAAGCCGCCCTCCCTGGCCTTGTGTCCTGGGCTTTGATTTCAGGTCAAGGGGGATGGGCTTTTCCAACTCTGAGTCATCCACAGGAAGGTAAAGCCCTTTTCTATCTGTGGAAGGTGTCAGGGACTCCGAGACCCGAGGGAGTGTGGCCTGGAACCACTGTCCCCAGAGCCTTTCCGTTGGTAAGAGTCGAACAGGGCCCACCAGGGAGGGTAGAAACTGAGGGTATGGACACGTTTGCTTGTGTCTTTACTTACCTTCCTGTGGTAAGTCAGCCGCCAGGGGAATGCACTCGTTTTTGTGGGGTTTTGTTTTTTGAGTGGGAAATCGGGGACCCCAGCCGCCTACCCCTGGTGGATGGTGGGTTGTCTCTTCGAGGGTGAAAGAGCCCTGCACCCTTCAGGGTGGGCTTGTGTCTTCACCCCCACAGATACTAGCCCCTAAATCATCTCTCTATGCACTTGTCATTCCCCTGTTCTTCTCGTTTTTATTTTATAGGTGCAGGGCTAGAGTTCTGTCTGGTAGCTTTTGTATACGTTCATATTTTTAAGGAAGTGTTGATTTTGAGGACACATCCTCTGTCCTCTGGACAGATTTGGGCTTGAATCAGGAGTTGTCCTATAGGTGTCATCCTTGATCCCGGGATGCTACCAGGGCTTTGTTCTTGGTTCCTTGAGCCTTGAGACCATAAAGACCAGGGGATGATAGCAGGTCAAGGGGTTTGTTATAAGGAAGAGGAGAACAGAGAAGGTGTTTCTGGGAAATATGAAACCACCTCCTCCAGTGCATGGAGCCTGTGCTCACAATGGGCCTTGGTTCTTAGAGAATGGATGCTCAATATTTCCTAATAAAATAGAGTCCCGTTCTTTTCCTGCGTCTGCCTTTCAGTGTGAACTTGACTATTAGCAAACCCACACCTCACTTCCCACCCACTCACCTCCTGCCTTAGGCCGAAAGCGGTTCAAGACCTTCAAGGAGTAAAAATCAGTGGCTTTAAAGAACACATCTTTGGGTGAACCGAGATCTGTGTGCTTGACCAGTGCACACATCTCTCCACTGTCCTTTGCCAACTGTGCATTCAGTCTGTCAGCCAAGACTTGGAGTGGCAGCTTTGGCTAAGGAGCCAGGTGGCCTCCTAAGGAGGCCGTTGGGAATCATCTCTATCCAGAATCAACTAGATTAGACACAAGGAGGACATTTCTAAGCTCAGCAGTGATGGTTGTTAAACCAAATCATGGAGGCTGTGAAATCCCCATTATTAATCCCATTCCTTCACTTATTGGGCAAACATTGAGGACTTAAGTACCATCACTGTGCTAGGAACTAGGGAAAGGTGATGAACAAGAAATCCCATTACCTGTCTTCATCAAGTTTTCACAGGAGGAAGCTACACGAGCCATCCAAGGAAGAATGGATACGGTGGTTTCCTAGCTGACAGTAAATTCTGGGATTTGGGTTGTAGAAGATACTGGTTCTCTCTCCCCCCAAGTCTCAACTTAAGAAAAGAACTGACGTTAAGCTTTGCAAAACTTCTAACTTTCTATTTTTTTACTCCTCTCTACCTGGTAGGCACACAAAATATCTTGGAAAAAAGGGAAGCAAGATCAGGCTGGATCCAGGATGGGAAATGACAGAACGTGGTCTTAGAAAGGTCAAGAGTCCTTCACTTCCTGTCCTGTTTGCCTCTAAAGCGGGTCTGCGGAGGCAGGGAGGGCTCAGCATACACGGGCCTTTGTGCGGCTCAGTGTGGGATGGAAGGGCACAGACTTCTTCCCTAAAAGACATCAGGAAGCCCCAGTCCCCTTGGCAGATCTATTTCCACCACGACTTTGCTCTCAATTCAGTTACACCTGTGTTTCTGTAACAAAGGACATTTCCCCTAAATGTACATGCATTTAGGGACTGCGGTTTTGTTCCCAGTTTGTTCTAAGTTCGTGGGAACAGCCTTGGGACAGAAACTTATAATGAGGGGCATCTGGGTGGCTCAAGTCGGTTAAGTATCCAACTTTTGGTGTTGGCTCAGGTCATGATCTGCTCCGTGCTCAGTGGGGAGTCTGCTTCCCCTCTCCCTCCCCCTCTGCCACCCCCTTTCTCGAGCACTCTCTAAAGTAAGTAACTCTTTTAAAAAATGTATAATGGTAAAAAGAAAACAAAGAGCAATTGCTTTACTGTCAGCGAGGCTCCCATGCCCCTCTTGGCAGGTCTTCTCCGTGACTTGCCCACTTCCATCTCCTGAGCCCTCCGGTGGCCGCCTTGTACCCTTCAGCCCTTTTCCTCAGACCCAGCCAACTCCCAGACTTGGCTCCCCTTCCCGGAGAACCTCGAACCTATCAGGTGTCAGGAACCTCCCTCAGCATCCCAGCCCCAGAGCAACGACTTCTCTGTAGTGCCCCTCGCTTCCTTCCTCCAGGCTCAGCCTGGAGATGTGCGTTCAGGGCGGCGGGACCCCATCTCCACCTGTGTTAGCCTTCACTTCCCTCCAGGGGCAGGGCCTTGCCCCCTCAGTCATTTCCTCCCCTGGTTTCCAGGCTCCTCTACTGGCTTCGTCCCGCAGCTTACGTGCTGCAGCTGGTCGTTCCTAGAGCCTCAGACTCAGTATGTCCAGAAGCCACCTCCCTGCGGGCCTCCCTTGCGTCTCCTCTGTGAGCAGCATGGCCTTGCCTGACCTCACCCAACCCCAAATCTGGGAGTCATCCAAGACTCCTTCCTCCCTTGCCTCCCTTAGAGCCATTCAGGAATCTGGCCCTACAAATCCTGCCTCCCTATTAACATCTCCCAGCTCTCACCTCAACCCCCCCAACCCCCAACCCCAGGCATAGTTCAGACTCTTGCAACCGCAGTAGCCCCCAAGCTCCCTCCAGTCCTGCCTCCCTCCACTTCATCCTCCGAGTTGTAGCCAGCGTTGAGTGTTCTCCAACACAGAATGCAGTCTGTCACTGCTCAGTTTAAACCCCCTGGGACTCCCCATCCCTACAGAAAGGCCAGTTCTTTGGAATGCACATGAAGCCTTCCCAACGGGGCCTCTGTGGAACCTCTTCACTGCACCCCGATACCCTGACCATCCTTGCCCCTTGGCCGCTCCCCTTGAATGTGTTCCACCGGGCCTCGCCTTGTCTGCACACTGTTCCCCTTTCCTGGAATGCCTGGTCCACCTAGGGCATACCTGCATATCTCTGAAAACTCAGCCTGGGTACCCCCTCCTCCGAGAAGCCTTCCCTGCACTTCTCTGACCCTGCTCCTACACCCGTGCACTGTCCAACTTCAGAGCTTGGGACAGGAGTCTGCCCCTCCGCCTCTATTTGTTATGTTCACACCCAAACTCTTGTCTCCAGCACCCAGCTCAGGGCCTGGTGAGTGACAGGAACTCACTTAATTTTTGCCAGTTGAGTTCTCTTCATGGGGAAAGACAGAAATGCAAGAGGCAGGGAGAGCCCAAAACTCTGAGCTGGAAAATGGACTCAGTCCCGCACTTCCCTTTGGTAAGATGTTAAATGTAAGTTAGTTTTAACCTCAGTGCCTCTCACCTAAGTTATGATTTATTGGTACTGGTGGATGAAGTCACAGCCGAAGACATTTATAAGAACCAACTAACCAGACCGCCTGGCTGGCTCAGTCGCTAGAGCAAGCAACTCTGGATCTCAAGGTTGTAAGTTCAAGCCCCACGTTGGGTGGAGGGATTACTTAAAAAAATAAAATATTTGGGGCGTCTGAGTGGCTCAGTGTGTTAGGTGTTTGCCTTTGGCTCAGGTCATGATCCCAGGGTCCTGGGATCGAGTCCCACATCGGGCTCCCTGCTCCGCGGGGAGCCTGCTTCTCCCTCTGCCTGCCGCTCCCCCTGCTTGTGTGCTCTCTCTCCCTGACAAATAAATAAAATCTTAAAAAAATAAAATAAAATCTTTAAGAAAACAAACCAACTAACCAGTATCCTAATGAAACAACTTATATTTTTGAAATATCACAGATATCAAAAGGGAGTGGAAAACTAGGCATCTTCTTTACTGCAGCTGCGTCTAGTACACAATCTGTTTCTCTTCTCTCTGGGCAAGCAATGGAACTAGGAGACTGTAGCTGACTCTCACCCTTTGGTCCCAGTGCATTCATCCGACTATATCCTGAGACAGCTCCCCTTGTTTGTTTTAATTTTTTTTTTTTTTGAAATACAACACACAGATAAGTGCGTGGAAGTGTAAGCTCACTGCACCTTTACAAACTGAACACACCCGTGTAACCAGCACCCAGATCAAAAAACAACTTCGCCACATCCCAGAATCCTCCTCGGGTCCCCTCCCAGGCAGTACTCTGTCCCCCTGCCCCCCTGCCCCTGTTCTCAAGCTGGGCATAGCGGAGGGAGGGTTGGAGCTGGACAGACCCGGTTCTAGACACTTGTAGCACTACACACCCTCACTTTTCTTAGAGATTTTACAGTTTGAGGCGGGTCATAATGAGACTTCTTTTTTTTTTTCATGGAATTTGACTTCCCTCAGGGTTGTGTTTATAGTTTATGATAAGCCACAATAGCTTACAGTGACAACATACGGAGTGGTGACCACAAACAGGCTGTGTGCTAAGCTCGACAGCCGCCCCACTTAATCCTGACAACGAGGCAGGGAGGTAAGGGAGGTAGGTCCGTACCCCCACTTTAGGACTGAGGAAGTGGGGGCTGGGAGGAGAGGTTCAATAAGAACCTTGCCCAGGGCCTGTTGCACTGCCAAAGCCCTGAGAAATACCTATGGGAAGAATGCAGAAAACAACAAAACGCTGAAATACAAACGACAGAGGGCCTACAAGTCTTCTCCCGAGCCGGCTTCAAGAAGACCCACAACTGTCATTGGCCCTTCCTTGCACGTGACCATGTGACCGGCTCTTCCCAGCCCTTTATCCCCAGCATCGGGGTCCTGTCTCATCACAGGGAGCTCTGCGGGGGCCCAGTGCTGGGCTTGCCCTCACAGTCCCCCATGGTCCGCCCCGGAGGTTTTCAAACCTCCCTGCTGCTGGGCCCTGTTAGGCTATCCCAAATTTCTGGACAGAAGAGTTGGGGCCTTCCTTTTTTCCACCCTCTTGACTGTGGCCCCAGGCCACAGAGGAAGGAGAAGGAGAAGGGCATGGACAACGGCCAGATTTTGAGACAGAGGATTTCCTAGCCTAGTGGAGAGTGAGGGCAGGTGGTGAGTTCCCTTTGGTTTCCACCCAGTCATCGGTGCAACCGAGCTCCTGCCTCTGGCCTGGGCAGTGACTGTGGCTCTAGGGCCTACTGGCCCCCGGATCCCCGCTCCTGCTGGCTCTTACCAGCGTTCCAACTCGGAGAACATTCCATCCCTTCCCAGGCCCCGGGGCAGCTGTAGAACGGTTGTGGGGCGGGGAGTCTGGTTCCAAGGAAACACTGCCCAGGCCCCTCACACCTCCCAGGCCCTAGCAGACACAGCGTCTCTGCTGTTTACACTGTGGGTGTTGGAAGGGCACATGCCAGGAGGCCTCAGCAGTGGTACATTTGGGCAAATTTGCCAGAGTTCTGGTCCCCAGCCTTTCTGGTGCAGAGCCTGGATTTCCTCAGTACACCCAGAGAAGACCGAATCCTGGGTGGGAGGCTCCTGTTAACGAAATTTCCAAGAGACCAACAGAATCTAGAACCCCAATTATCAATTTATAGGAGGGGCTCTCCCATTGCAAGCCAGCTTCAGAGCACCCCTTGTTCCTGGTCTTGAGTGACTGAAATGAATGGCTTTGTGATCAGCTAGTGCTTGAGCTGCAGGGAACGAAAGGAAGGGGTCATGTGAGGGACAGGCAGACACCAGCCACGAACCCTCTCAGGGGACAGACCCTGTGCTTCAAATCCCGCTTATCTTCTGCGCCCCCCAG